TTCGGCTATCCAACCCGCCCAGGGGGAGGGGGGGAGGTGGCAGGAGAGGGAGGATCAAGAAAGCTAAATGTACATGTATACACATACATACAAAAACAGGTGTCTTTAATTAGTTATAGTTTGACCATCGCTCTGATACTCAGCACTTTTTTTCATGCTATCAAACATCTGAAATAACGCAATAATCTATATATTTCTTATATTTTGATGGTTTTCTTCAGGGTTTGCTAGGAGACACGAGTTACTACTACTCACAAGCAAGCTTCGCTCGGGTAAAGCAAAATTTAAGCAAGTGATTCATGCAAATATCAACAAGCCAACAGTGAGGCTGATGTCCCCCGCCGAAATAGGAAAATAATTAGAGGACACATATAAATTTATCACAAATTATCTTTTACAAAGTATTGAACAATCAAACAGTATATCTTTACTTATAGTCTAACAATCAAAGTAGGAGAGTTATTGTTTTCCAAAGTCTCGACCAATCAAATTGCGTATCGCTCTGCTTACCCTGAGCAGAAAATGCTCATTATCAAACTTAGTCAAGGTATTACTGTAATGAAACTATACACCAAGTTTCATCAATCTCACTTAATTAGAACTAAAGTTATCGTGTCCCAAAGCATCAACCAATCAAATTGCTTATCTCTGCTTACCCTAAGCGGAAAATGCTCATCTTCGAACTCCATCAAGGCATTGACCTAATCAACACATACACCAAGTTTGAACATTCTAGCTCAATTAGGAAGAGAGTTATCGTGCCCCAAAGTATCAACCAATCAAATTGCTGCTTACCCTGAGCAGAAAATGCTCATTATCAAACTTAGTCAAGGTATTACTGTCATGAAACTATACACCAAGTTTCATCAATCTCACTTAATTAGAACTAAAGTTATCGTGTCCCAAAGCATCAACCAATCAAATTGCTTATCTCTGCTTACCCTAAGCGGAAAATGCTCATCTTCGAACTCCATCAAGGCATTGACCTAATCAACACATACACCAAGTTTGAACATTCTAGCTCAATTAGGAAGAGAGTTATCGTGCCCCAAAGTATCAACCAATCAAATTGCTTATCTCTGCTTACCCTAAGCGGAAAATGCTCATCTTCGAACTCCATCAAGGCATTGACCTAATCAACACATACACCAAGTTTGAACATTCTAGCTCAATTAAAAGTTATCGTGTCCCAAAGCATCAACCAATCAAATTGCTTATCTCTGCTTACCCTAAGCGGAAAATGCTCATCTTCGAACTCCATCAAGGCATTGACCTAATCAACACATACACCAAGTTTGAACATTCTAGCCCAATTAGGAAGAGAGTTATCGTGTCCCAAAGCATCAACCAATCAAATTGCTTATCTCTGCTTACCCTAAGCGGAAAATGCTCATCTTCGAACTCCATCAAGGCATTGACCTAATAAACACATACACCAAGTTTGAACATTCTAGCTCAATTAGGAAGAGAGTTATTGTGTCCCAAAAAGTGTGACGGACAGACAGACGGACAGAAGGACGGACGGACAGACAGACGGACAGACAGACGGACGAACCCATTTTAATAGTCCCCTGCTTTCTTCGAAAGGCGGGGGACAAAAAGATATTATAGGAAATAATGAAATATATTCTGCTGTCCTAGTGCCAAAGAAAAATTTACACAAGTGATTCGTGCAAATTTCTAATAAATATTATAGGATATAATGAAAAGTATTGTCATAAAAAAGCTATCAGAAATCAGCTGGGATAAAGCAAAAGCAAAGTGGTTCATGCATATTTCAACTAAATGAAATGAAATGGGGTTTAACGTCCTACTGTTCTGCTCCGACTGGGCTAATGACGACGGAGATACACCATACTGTGTGCTATGAGGGAAATTTTGCCTGGGCAGCGGCACTATGCCTACTCTTATATCGAATTCCAACTGTCAAATGATTTTTTACATGCACGCCAATGTATACATGGGACCTCGGTTTTTCGTCCCATACGAACAACTAGACAGCTATTCTGCACCACTAACAAGAGGAAACCATGCCAGAAAATCCTGATGAACTTTCTCGGCCAATGCAGGGATCAAACACACAACCTCCAGGCTAGGGAGCCAGTGTCTTACCCACTTAGCCACCCGAAATTTAAAATAAACAAGCCAACAGTGAGGCTGATGTCCCCCGCCGAAATTGCAAAATAAATAGATGACACATATTAATTAATCGCACATTTATTTTTTTCACTAAGTTTCATCACTCTCTATCAGATAGAATCAAGATTATCTTGTCCCAAACCATCGACAAATGAAATCGATTAGCTCTGCTTAGCTTCAGCTCGAAATGTTAATTATTGAACTCAGTCAAGACATTCACCTAATGAACATCTACATATACATCAAGTTTAAACATTCACCTAATAGACACCTATGCCAAGTTTGAACATTCTACCTCAATTAGAAGGAGAGTTATTGTGTTCCAAAGTTTCTACCAATCAAATTGCTTATCACTCTGCTTACCCTCAGCAAAAAATGTTCATTATCGAACTTAGTTAAGGTATTCATATAATAAATCTATACACCAAGTTTCATCAATCTCACTTAATTAGAACTAAAGTTATCGTGTCCCAAAGCATCAACCAATCAAATTGCTTATCTCTGCTTACCCTAAGCGGAAAATGCTCATCTTCGAACTCCATCAAGGCATTGACCTAATCAACACATACACCAAGTTTGAACATTCTAGCTCAATTAGGAAGAGAGTTATCGTGCCCCAAAGTATCAACCAATCAAATTGCTTATCTCTGCTTACCCTAAGCGGAAAATGCTTATCTTCGAACTCCATCAAGGCATTGACCTAATAAACACATACACCAAGTTTGAACATTCTAGCTCAATTAAAAGTTATTGTGTCCCAAAGCATCAACCAATCAAATTGCTTATCTCTGCTTACCCTAAGCGGAAAATGCTCATCTTCGAACTCCATCAAGGCATTGACCTAATCAACACATACACCAAGTTTGAACATTCTAGCCCAATTAGGAAGAGAGTTATCGTGTCCCAAAGCATCAACCAATCAAATTGCTTATCTCTGCTTACCCTAAGCGGAAAATGCTCATCTTCGAACTCCATCAAGGCATTGACCTAATAAACACATACACCAAGTTTGAACATTCTAGCTCAATTAGGAAGAGAGTTATTGTGTCCCAAAAAGTGTGACGGACAGACAGACGGACAGACAGAAGGACAGACAGACGGACAGACAGACAGACAGACAGACAGACAGACGGACGAACCCATTTTAATAGTCCCCTGCTTTCTTCGAAAGGCGGGGGACAATAATGAAAGAAATATACTATCATAAATAAGGCATCATAATCCTTCTGATCTTACAGTGAGCTCACTATGGATGAACAATAAGAAAATTAAACAAAACTAAGAAAACTTAGTGTAAAGTGTAGACTACCTATAGTGGTGTATAATCATCCAAATTGTACCATATTGCATGCCAAAATGCAAAATTTTCTTTGCCCCCAAATCCCCCTAGGCTAATTCGAGGGTCAGCTCCAAACAAATATGGCAGAAAATTATGCATCGTAACCAGGTTACCATTTCAAATTTCAGGCAGATTAGCGTAACCTTTTCTGAGGTTATCATATAAGAGGCTCATTTCATACCCTGACAACTCAGTATTCTGTGACCAATTTGGTCTGAGGATTTGAATTTTTTTTGTTTGTTTTTACGAAATGTAAATTACGAAAACTAGGACTAGGATTTCTATGACCTATTTGTGTTTTTGTAAGTTAAATTTTTCCTTTTCAACCCTATCCATATGCAAATTACAAAAACTTGGACTTCTTGTACCTATTTTAGTCAAGAGTTTTCGACTTTGGGCCTACGCTAAAAACTAAGACTTTTTTTCTACAACTCCAAAAAGCCAGTCTATATAGAGTACAAAAAAACACAAATAAGAGAAAAATTGGACCAAACAGGACAACAAATTCTGAGATGTCCGACTTTTCAACCTCACCATTTATATTACAAATAACTAAATACTTTAAATTTCAGCCCAAATTCTCAGCATTCAAAAAGCTTAAAAATTAAAAATTGTGTGTCAAAGTTCAAGCTTGAGAAGAGCCATATGCGACAAATGTTTCATTTTCAGGGGATGTAACCAATCTCAATACACTGTAAAATCATTATTAAAATGACAGCACCTCTTTAAGGTACAGACTACAGACCGAGAATGTGAAAATGAGAGCACCTTTTTAAAGATCTGGCTGAGAATTCACTGACGCACGAAACCTTAGAGCACACAGACCCCATAGCTTAGGTGCGTGTCATTGTCACCAAGGATGAGTTTGATATTCACTGACAAAGAATTGCTCGTCCCTTTAAAATCACCGTGTATACAGCCGCTATCTGATTAAAATACAGATCTATATTTTTTTTATACTTTCGATGGCCTACACTACATGAAGATCTGGCCAGTTAGAGGGAGGTCGCGTCAGAGGTCAAACAAGTGGCTTTTGACCCTATGATGTCAAACATTGATTAATAAATCAGTGTTGAGGTTTCTAGTGGTTTACCCACAGTTCCATGCACAGTACGCCAAGAACTCGCTGTAACAGATCGATTCATTGGCTAATCCCTCACATTAACCAGAACGCGGGTTATATAACAACTCTTCCAGATCCTAGTGTAGTAAACAAGTAAAATGAAATTTTGAAATATAAAAAACGAAACGAAATAGGATCTGTGTTTCAATCAGATTTATGTAGCCGCAAACAATCTCTAAACAAAGGCCTGCAAATTGATTTCGAACAATTTCGACAGCATATAGCTGGTTGCTAAACAATTGATCATGGCTTCAACAAGCTAACCGTACGTAACTAACGTACAAAAATCAAATGGTAGCTGGGTAGCGTGTCTCTGATGTTCAGAATGCAAGCTAACATAGGTTCAGACATATTTTGTATCTTAAAATAACAGATTAACCACGCAAATATAAATTTTACCTCATATGCATCAGCTCCCTTCACATCCAAATATTTCTTTTCTTTGAAAAACTTTCTGGCTTTTAAGAAATACAACACCACAATATCACAGACTATAGTAGCCTACAATAATAATTTTAAAAAAATGAATAAAAAAATTTAAATAGGATTTTTTAGATCAGTAAGTTTATACAATATCACAGTAGTCTACAATAAATAAAAAAAATTTTTTTATAGGCTCTTTCAGTTCATAAATTTATACAATGATATTTTATGTTACATCCTCCACCTCTTTAATACGTTTTTATAATGGGTATCACAAGGATAGCCTCCCTTTAATATGTTTTTATAACAGGGCTAGAAATTTGTCATTTTTTGCGAGAATCTAAGAGGATTCTCATATATGGAATCTGTGCGAATCCTCCGAATCTTAATTAATAATACTGTCTAAAAAACAAAATTGTGTTTATTGTGTTAAACTAAAACACCAAAATACAACAACAATGATAAAAATAAAACAATCAGATGGAGTTTTTGGTGTGTCAAAAGTAATATCCAGAAAATGCTGTAGTCAAAATAAGCTGATACAGCACCATGGCATTTCTTCATAGCACAATTTGTAGTCTTTTGTCCATCACGCAACTAGTCACGTAACTTGCAAAAGTTTTTATTCATACGTCGATGATAGACAAACCGCACAATGATCACGTGACAACCATAACTGAAATTGCTATAAAATAAACTTTGGTACGACTATGATATAGCCTTCAATAATATTTTTAAAATTAAGTCTCTGTCAGCATGTATATAAAATAAAAAATCATAACGGTAAACGCTATTTAGAACTGGTTTATTGACCTAATTCCAACCAATATGTCACGTGTTATTGGAATTCGGCATTCGAGATTCTGTTGGGAAAATATCCACTCAACAATTCTCCGAGATTTTTTTTTTTTTTTTTTAAGAAAAATTTCACGCGAATCCTTATAGATTTGCAGCGTCAGCTCTTGCGAGATTCCTTGCGGGAATCAGATTCGGAGATTCACATGAATTTCTAGCCCTGTATAATGGGTATCACAAGGATAGTCTCCCTTTAATATGTTTGTATAAGACACCTAGAAAAACTTACAATAGAGAGTAAAGCTAAACCGCTACCAATGTTGAGAAACAAAGGCACAAAATTAAATTTGCCAGCTTTTCCTTCAACAGTCACAATAAAACGAATACCATATGCTTTTATTAATGTTCTTTTTTTCACTCCATCTTCAAAATATGGTTCAGCATATCTATAAAAACAATTAGCATATATATAAATAGGGTTCAGCATATCTATAAAAACAATTAGCATATATATAAATAGGGTTCAGCATATCTATAAAAACAATTAGCATATTTATACATACATATAAATAGGGTTCAGCATATCTATAAAAACAATTATCACATTTATACATATATATATATAAATAAAAACTAAGTTGTGTTAAAAAAAATCAACCACTTTCACTTTATTCTGATATAAGTCAATTCATAAAATTCAGATGTTATAATATACTAGAATACCCGCCTTCACCCTCGTCCCAAATTCGATGACCTAAAACATTCACCAGGTCATGCTGTTTAATTTGATACCACATCGATAAAGTATGATTTCCCAAGGACCAAGACTCAATTCGCCCAGGTCCAAATTCGATGGCCAAAAGCATTCACTGAGTCATGCTGGTTAATTTGATACCACATATGTGATGGGCGAACATACATACATACATACATACTTTGATTTTCTTTACAGATATTTCTGATGTAATTAGTAATTTGAGGATTATCTCCATAGGCATAAAAACAAATTGAATCTAAAAAGAATGCTTCCCATTTCTTCAGGGAAGTATTGCTATGTTCCTACTATCACGATTCGCGCTTCAATTGAAATCGTGGTTTTAATCGTGGAGTAATCGTGGTGATTCTATCAGGTCTTATCATATATTTAGGTCAGTAGTAGCAATCGTGTTGATCGTATCGAAACGTATCCGTTAAAATCGTGGTTTTAATCGTGAAGTAATCGTCGTGATTCTATATTGAGGTCAGTAGTAGCAATCGTGTTGATCGTATCGCAACAAATCCAAATGTATCTTCACATACCAGATCGTGGACTCAGTCGAGACAATCCTATTGTAACACATCGCAATGGGAACCTAGCATAACAGATTTTTACATAAAATTTATTACCTGAAATTAAAACCTTTCGCAAGTGTGTAGTCATTGCTGTCCAGTCTTCTGAACTGATATTCAGGCACACAGTCCTCCACACTTAAGTCCAGATTACAGTTCCACTGGATTAGTATCTGTATCACACCACCCTGGATAGTTATAAATTTTAAAAAGAAAAAAAAACAATATTTTACCTCCTGAAAAAGCTTAAGAATTCAAAAACGTTAAATATTCAACAATATCCCCTCACTCCTCCCCCCCCCCCCCCCCACACAAAGAAAAAAAGTTTCATTATTGGCGCTAAAACAATATTAAGTAAAACTAGGTAAGCAAAATCCGGGCATCGAGTTCATACAAAGCATTCTCAGACTTTAATTAAGATTTTACTCAAATTTGTTTGTCTTATTTTAACTAAAATATAGCCCATTATAAAACTATGTGCAAAGTTTTATGTTTCTGGTTCAAAGATATTTCTCATAAACAGTGATTGAAAGTTGAGTAAATTTTTAACTCAAGTCTGACAATGCTTTGTGAACTCGGGGCCCAGATGAAGTAGAAAAATAGACCGACAATATTGACAATAATAAGGTATATAAAGTACTTGTAAGAAATAAACAGTTAATAATGGCTATCTTAGAGTTTATAGGCCTAGTAATACATTAATAATACTAAGAATTGAAATCCATCAAAAGTGAACAATGTCTTCAATCTGAGCAAAATACAAATCTATATTTCATTTCGGTTTTTATACTTTCGATGGCCTACACTACATAAGATCTGACCAGATTAAGTGGACGGTCATGTTAGGTGTCGTACGAGCGGCTCTTGACCCTATGACATCAGACATTGATTAATCAATCAGCATTGACGTTTCTAGTTACTCAAAGTTCTGTGCACCTCAAGCCAAAAGCTCGCTGTAACAGACCATTACATTGGCTAATCCCTCAAATCATCCAGAACGTGCGTTATATAACTACTCTTCCAGGTCCTAGTGTAGTAAAGACAAGTAAACTATGTGTTGTCCCTTGCCAGGCCTCGTGTACTACTGACAAGGGGAAACCACGCCAGAAAATCCCAATGAACTTTCTCAGCCAATACAGAGATCAAACACGTCTCATCAACACAATACTTCTGTGATTTTTACACGAATATATGGTTAACATTCTAATGGTGAAATGTGCAGGAGGAGCGCACCACACACAAACAATTAAACAAGACAAACCCACGGCGTAGATACCACAAACAACAAAAACATATATCAGATTAAGTGAACACCACGAACAACAGTACTTCTATGATTTTTACACTAATATATGGTTAATGTTCTTATGTTGACATGTGCAGGAGGATCGCACCACACACAATTAAACAAGACAAACCCGCAGACAAGATACCACAAACCACAAAAACATATATCAGATTAAGTGAACACCGCGAACAACAGTACTACTGTGATTTTTACACTAATGTATGGTTAATATTCTTATGTTGACATGTGCAGGAGGAGTGCACCACACACAAACAATTAAACAAGATTCTACAAACAACAAACACAAATATGTGATGAAGTGAAGGCCACAAACAACAAATGTATGTATAAGATGAACTGAATGCATACAGGGGCTAGCCGAACGCACGTAGGGGTCTTTCGCCGTGGGAGGAGACCTGAGGACTTGGAGAAAATAGGGTTTAACGTCCACTCGACATAAACTAGGTCATTTTGGGACTAGCATATGGTTCAATTTTATTTCAATAATTTGCTTGCACGTAGGGGTCTTCAGCAGAGAGAGGAAACCAGACGACTCGGAGAAAACCCACGAGATTGGGCAGACGACCCTACTCCTTGTCACGTACAACCAGGAAATCAAAACCACGCCAGTTGACAAAATCCAACCCACCGCACTCAAGAAACAAGGGAATATGTGTTACATGTAGGGAGGAGAAGGTTTTCCTGGAAAGCTACGTTTCTGCCTACAATCATTCAACTCCAACTGTCAACAACAAAACACATACTTATGGAAAACAGCTACTAGTGTATTTAAGGCGACGTTTCGTAAGGTATTCTCTCAACGTTATCAAGCTAATACAGTAAAACAGGTATGAGGCAAATATATATAGACAAAATACAACAACATAACCGAAACCATACATAGCAACAACATGATCAAAGGCCTACACCAACACTTATTAAGATATACAATAGCAGATAGAGAGTTAATTAACTTATAGTCCATGGCCAGTGAGGATGTCTTAACAACAAAAATGGAAACCATACCTTAAAACAATTAGATCAAAGGGTTGTGACACAATTTGGTAACAATATACAAAAGTAAGAAAAGAAACCCCTATGTTAAACAATCAATAAGCTGACTAAGTGGTCTTTTATGTGCACGCCAATGAGAGTAAAAAGGCAGACCTCAGTTTTTTTGTCCAATCCAACAACTATACCACACTTTATATGTCAGCTTTCACCGTTTACTGTTTGAACAATCTGATTAAAATATAGATCTATATTTCGTTTCGTTTTTTATACTTTCGACGGAAATAAAATGAAATGAAATGGGGTTTAACGTCCTACTGTTCTCCTCCTATACTGGGCTAATGAAGACGAGCTTACGCCATACAGTGTGCTATGAGGGAGATTTTTCCCGGGTAGCGGCACTATCGCCTACTCTTATATCGAATTCCAACTGCCAAGGGATCTTTTACGTGCATTCCAATGTATACAACGGACCTCAGGTTTTTTGTCTCATCCGAAGGACTAGACAGCTGTCCTTGTCAGGCCCTCCGTTCTGTACCACTGACAAGGGGGAACCACGTCGGAAAATTCTTTCGACGGCCTACACTACATAAAGATCTGACCTTATTTGAAACTGGAATGTTCTAGTTAAGAGAGCAACAACCTAAAACTGATTCTTATTTTAATCTTAAAAATTTGAATCAAGATTTTTAGACTGTATATTTTCTGAAGTAAGTAATTTTTAAAATATTTTAACATACTATATAAGCTATAACGACAAATAACACAAACACCCTACTTATACAAACTAGAGACTGACATAAACAAAGCAGATCAACGTCAGAACTCAACCAAAAACTTATTTTTCATGGATTGAAACAATTTGAACAGTGATATTTCAGAAATTATGACCCCAACTTGCAAGAGAGAGAGAGGGAAATGGGGTTTAACGTCCACTCGACACAAATTAGGTCATTTCGGGATTAACACATGGTTCAATTTTATTTTAATAATCCGCTTGCGTGTAAGGGTCTTTAGCAGTGGGAGGAAACAGGCGGACCCGGAGAAAACCCACAAGATGACGCTATGACGTCAAACCTCTGAGTCATTTAAAAGTTAATTCAGCCAATTAGTACAAGTTCAAAAGTTAACAGGAGGAGGACTATTTGTTTCTGTGAAATATGACAATGGGCCATAATTTGACAAATTTCGATTCTACACAAGACAAGGACATCTTTTTAATCCAAAACAGTAACAGGATCTCTTTCTAAATTATCTAAAAAAATCTATCACCTCGAAATGATCAATTGATCAAACAGAAAATATATAAAAAATTTGATGGTTTACAAAGTAAAAACATCGATACGAAAAGAAATAAAAATTCTGGATGTTTATCAAGGCAAATCATCGACAGGAAAGAGATAAAATTTATCAATGTTTACGGAGTAAACCATTGATAGGAAAGATAAACATTCTGGATGTTTACAGAGTGAAATGATGAAAAATAAAAATTGTGGATGTTTACCGAGAGAGCTAAATTATAGTAATCTTGACCGGTGTACTGTACGATTTCGCTCAAAATAAAAATAGGACAAAATCGGTTAAGTTTATCATTAGCATCATATCGACAACTAGCCAGCTCGGTGTCATTTTCAAACCCAATAAGGTTACGTCTGAAATGGAGAACAATCAAAAGTTAAAAATTCAAATCAAAATTGAGTCAACCCAAAATCGAGTCAAATCAAAATTGAGTCAACCCAAAATTGAGTCAAATCAAAATTGAGTCAAATCAAAATTGAGTCAACCCAAAATCAAGTCAACCCAAAATTGAGTCAACCCAAAACTGAGTCAAATCAAAATTGAGTCAAATCAAATCAAATAATCAAAACAATTCAGATAAAATTTGTGCTCATCCTTTCAAAACCTTCAACAGGAACATGAACAATAGTGAGAAAACAAACCAAAGGGAGATGTGCCACCTTAGAAAACATACAGAACATCAAGTAGTTTGTAAAAACTAAAAATACATGCACTCCACGATGAAATAGGAATACAGGTACATGCAAAACACTTAAATAATTTCAATGTTGTGGGAAAAGGAAATCCATTGCAATAAATTATCATGCAGTGTCGACAAGTCAAGTTATAATACCTGAAATAGTGCCAAACATATATTACAAACATCAACAAACACACTGACAGATACCAGAGCAATGAAAAATTTATGTCCACTCATGTGGATGTAAAAGATCCCCTGACAGCTGGAATTTAAAGCAGAGTAGAAGGGAACACCATCGAATTGCAGACATTTAAACATAGAAATGAAATTTACCATAATCTAAAATTGATCTAAGTATTGTGATGACGAGACCTGAAACCCCATACTAAACTTATGCTGTCTGTCTACAGTTAGCTCTGCTTGAGAACAGACACTAAACTAGTTGACCGACATTTTAAGTCCTAAATCGACCAAGTTAGTCGAATACACTAAGTATACTTCGAGAATTTTAAAAAGTATATATATTTTGTTTTCATTTACAGGGCCAATCCCGATAATATTTTGGAGAATAGAACTGCTTAATTTTGTGTTAAAATCCCTTAAAATCCTCTACCTTAGGGCCGAGTAACTAACTCAAGTTATGTGATGCGTTTTCGAACAACTTAAACCCGTCAGTCTTCATTTTATAAAAATAATGTGTAGGTGAAATTTATCTTTCGTTATCAATTAAAGCACATGGGTCATTCATTGTATAGACCTCTAAAGGAACAGGAATCGATTATCAGGTCACTCAACAAAAAATTTGACCCGAAATCTTAATAGGGTTATGTGTCCGGATAAGCAGTTTTGACATTCACGTCCAAACGACTCAATATTTGGAGCCGAAAGTTTGAGACAAGGTAAATACACCATTCCTCTATATTTTGGCGTTTAAATTTCATACGTACTCAGACTTTTATTTTTGAGACTTTCTCTGGGTCCTCCGGTTTCCTCCCACTGCTAAAGACCGCTACGCGCAAGCGAATTATTGAAATACAATTAAACCATATGTTAGTGCCGAAATGACCTAGTTTGTGTCAAGTGGACGTTAAACCCCACTTTGAGATAGTCAAATGTGGAGAGAGAGAGAGAGAGAGAGAGAGCGAGAGAGAGATGGGGTTTAATGTCCACTTGACACAAACTAGGTCATTTTGGGACTAACATACCGTTCAATTTTATTTCCATAATTCGTTTGCTGGTAGGGGTCTTTAGCAGTGGGAGGAAACCGAAGGACCAGGAAACCCCCCCCAGAGATTTGGATGTCGACAGTCTATATCAACAAGAATCAAAATTTAATAAAAGGTTCCCTAATTCTGGTCACTTATCAATTACTTGTTAATGCCACCATTAGACCTGGGTGGCTTCCTTACTGCACTGCTAAGACCTTGGCGTTTGTTTTGAACATGCTCAAAACAAACGCCGTGACTCTGCAATCATTGGCGACCATGGAGACTGCAGCACGATATCTGTAGCGTTTCCATCACGCTTTTACCAGACTAATGGAGATCTTGACGGGTTCTGAGACCATTTTACGTCACCATAGCAGCGCAGTAAAGACGCCATTCCGGTCTGACAGGGGTATAAATTAAATCGAATGACTATAAAGAAATGTGTGCTTGTTGCATTAGGTTAGACAGACAAAAAGTTAATGTATATATAAACCTCATCAGAAAGTTAATTTAAATATAAAAGTTAATTTAAATATAATATTCATCAGAAAGTCTGATTAATAAGAAAACAAAACAGAAGAATCAAAGATATTGTGAAATTCTATGCAGTTTTATCAAATTTAATCAATGTCGTTTTTCTTTCAATTTAACTGTAATATATGAAGATAATTTATCTTATCAAAGTTTAGAACTGTGATATATGCAGATAATTTATCTTATGAAGGTTTATAACTGTGATATATGAAGATAATTCAGTTATAAAATAGTAATGCATATTTAAATATTACTAAAGTTAATCACCATTTCTCAGAAATTTGAACGCAAAGGCAGCTCCACTTGTAGCTTTTTGCAACCATTTGATGTGTTAACAAAAAGATATTCACAATGCATGCATATTACCACCAAACTAATTTCATTTTTGTTCTCAGGAGCATTGATTAATAAATAATAACTCAAGTCTTGTGAATGATTTTCTCTTTAAAATTTACAAAATTTACAAAATTTGGAACTATAAAGTTTTAACAAAAGCAACAAAGTGCTTTTTATTTTTACGGTATTCTTCAGCACCTGGTAAATATTTACTCCCCTGATTCCGTGAAATAATTAGGGAAAGGTGATGTATTTTACATTGAGTTTTTGAGGCTCATTTTTGAAATTACCTAGAACTACTGCGTCCTTAGTCTGCCTGAAATTTTTGTGAGTCATAGAACCAGTATACTTAAACAGATCACAGATATTCAAATGAAATGAAATGAAATGGGGTTAAACGTCCTACTGTTCTGCTCCTATACTGGAATAATGAAGATGGGCATATGCCATACAGTGTGCTATTAGGGAAATTTTGCCCGGGCAGCGGCACTATAGCCTACTCTTATATCAAATTCAAACTGGCATGCCAATGTGACCTCGGTTTTTTCGTCCCATCCGAACAACTAAACAGCTGTCCTTGTCAGGCCCTCTGTCCTGCACCACTGACAAGGGTAAACCGCGTCGGAAAATCCCAATGAACTTTCTTGGCCAATGCAGGGATCGAACACGCGACCTCCTGGCTAGTGAGCCAGCGTCTTACCCACTTGGCCGTGCTTCCGATATTCAAATGACTGACCTTAAATTAGTTACAACTTTTCAAATGACTTACTAGCATATGGTTCTTAAATAGTTCACAGCTATCTAGCATATGGTTCTTAAATAGTTCACAGCTATTCCTGTAACTCTGGAGGTTTAAGGCACTACCAGAAGCAGTAGTTTTAGGCAATTTATGGCAATACAGGTGCTGAAAGATTTAATATGAGCGATCATTGCGTTTCACGATTGCATACATTGTGTGCTAGCGAGTCTGCCTGTCGTTTTCAAATTCTGAAAATCTGGAATATATTTATTCACGGTACCTGAAGGGCCATTATTTCATAATCTTGACCAGCCATTTCTACGATTGTTTTCAGTTGAAATATGGGACAGGATTTGTTTTCTGAGTTATAATTACACGTCCGCAGATAAGCATCCGTAGCATCTTCAAGCAAGTTACGTCTGTAGTCCAAGGAAACAAAATTTGATTCATTATTATTATTATTATCATCATACAGAATTTATAAATGAACTAAACAGGGTTTTAAGGTCCTACCATCTGCTCCGACTGGGCTAATGAAGACGTGTGCTATGAGGGAATTTTGGCCAGACAGCAAGACTACAGCCTAGTCTTATATCGATTTCCAACTGCCAAGAGATCTTTTACTTGCATGTTATAATGTGAACACGGGACCTCGTTTTTTTGTCCCATCCAAACAACTATACACTGTCCCTTGTCAGGCACTCTGTCAGCATTTATAAAGCACATATCTTTCACTAAATATTTGAAATTAAAAACACAAATTAGAAAATATGGGATCCTAATATTCCATATTTAAGACACAATGAACATTTTATAATCACTACACAAGTCATGTATTCTAAGGTTTCGGCAGCCATTTGTAATGGACAAAGAAAAACATCATAAAACACAATGTGGAAAAAATTAGTAATGGCAGATGCACAAACAACAAAATAATATTATAAAAAATGTGTAGAATGGACTAAGCGGACACAAACAACTGTCGTTCAATTTGGACTGTTTGCGTATTTCACCGAACATAATTGATTAGAAATTACAAATCTTTAAAAAATTTAAGGTTAATTTAAGGTTCCAAAGAATAGAGCCATGCACCCTTTAATGTTACTGGTTTTGTCCCATGCTGAAACTGATGATATAAGGATGAGCACAAATTCTCTAAGCAATTTAATGGTAACAAGAACATACTAGAAAATGTTAATAAAGTAGAGAGGGATCAGAAAGACTGTACAGGTCACTATTCTATTCTATGAAATGAAATGGGGTTTAACGTCCTACTGTTTTGCTCCGAACTGGGCTAATGAAGACCAGCCATATGCCATACAGTGTGCTATGAGGGAAATTTTGCCCGGACAGCGGCACTACGGCCTACTCTTATATCGAATTCCAAATGCCAAGGGATTTTTTACATGCACGCCAATGTGTACACAGGGCCTCGGTTTTTCATCCCATCCGAACGATTAACAGCTGTCCTTGTCAGGCCCTCTGTCCTGCATCACTGACAAGGGGGAACCACGGCGGAAAATCTGGGTGAACTTTCTCGGCCAATGCAGGGATCGAACACCCGACCTCCAGATTAGCAAGCCAGCGTCTTACCCACTTAGCCACCGTGACCCCACAATCTTACTATCTCAATGCAGGGATGACGGATTAGAAGGCTAGGTCAGCATTAACTAATTATTGTTTTTTTTTATATGTCTCGTTATATTTTATATTTTAACATTGCTTAATAATGACTAGAGAAGCCTAGTCGAATCATCGCTCAGTAATTGCATTCCATAGAATTGTGACCTGTATATTCCAGTTTAATTACTACCTGAAACAATTTATCAGAAAGATTATCAATGAATATTAAAGATTAGATCTGGGCGATATCCCTGGAAACAAATATCGCAATATTTTTTATAAAATGTCAGTAATTTATTGTTTTATCACCATTTAACTGTAAATACACATTACAATGACAATCAGTCTGCCAACACTCAACATAGTTGGCATTGTTTATATTTCGGCTTTATTAAAATTCATTTCAATAAGAAAATCAACAATTCCTTTGAAAAATCAAATTTGTCAAGATATAGAAAACTAAACAGGAGCAGAGACGATTCTAACAGTACTGGTCGTGTAAAAAAAAGCGTGCGAGAAGCCACGTAGTGTGAACAAAGCTCTAACGATGTTTGCGAACTTCATGGAATGAACACTCATTGTTTATGGTTATTTATTTATCATCAAACAATAAATATGGTGAATAATATGCAAAGAAAAACATCTTTTCTATATATATGCTAAATTTAATCCAGAAAAATCAAAACCACTGTATGTTCGTTTTTTTCAATATTTTTCTGAAGAGGGTATTTATGACACTTTTGATTTCACCAACGATTTTATATTGAAACCAGCGGCTGCAAGGCAGGATACGCCCACATTTTCGAGAGATGGATAGAGAACAAGCTAAAAAGAAAGATTTTTCGTACAATCAGGGGCCATAGTTCAGGAAGTTACAGTCCGATATGCGCGAATATCAAAAGGAACCGAGATCTTTGGGTTATAAACTTACATTTCAAGTTTCAACAAAATCAGATAAGAATTGTAACCTCTATAGGGTCCACAACCTTGATATATCATATTTTTATGCTATTTGAGAACGAAGGGCGGCCATTTTGTCTGTCAGTTTTGGGCCGATTTTCATGAAATTCGAACTCAGCCGTCCTTAGGGTGTAACGGTGATATAATAATATGTTTTTTTAAATCGGATAAAAATTATGACATCTATGGGCTCCACAAGCTAAAATCGTGATTTTTCGAACAATCAGGGGCCATAATTCGGGAGGTTACGTTCCGATATGCGCGAATATTGAAAGGAACCGAGATCTTTGGGTTATAAACTTACATTTCAAGTTTCATCAAAATAGGATTAAAATTGTGACCTCTATAGGGTCTACAACCTTGATATACCATATTTTTACGCTATTTGGGAACGAAGGGCGGCCATTTTTTCTGTCAGTTTTGGACCGATTTTCACGAAATTCGAACTCAGCCGTCCTTAGGGTGTAACGGTGATATGATAATACGTTTTTTTAAATCGGATAAAAATTATGACATCTATAGGGTCCACAAGCTAAAAACGCGATTTTTCGTACAATCAGGGGCCATAATTCAGGAAGTTACGTTCCGATATGCGTGAATATCGCAGGGAACCGAGATCTTTGGGTTATAATCATACATTTCAAGTTTAAACTAAATCGGATAAAAATTGTGACCTCTACAGTGGTCACAAGCTAAAAACGTGAGTTTTCGTACAATCAGGGGCCATAATCCATGAAGTTACAGTCCGATACATGCCAATATTGAAAGGAACCGAGATCTGAGGGTGATAAACCTATATTTCAAGTTTCATTGAAATCGGATAAAAATTGTGACCTGTAGACTGTTCACAAACAATTGTGAACGGACGGACGGACAGGGGCAACGACAATATACGTTCACATGAAAATGTTGGCGTATAAAAAAGGAATATCGCCCAGCTCTATTAAAGATGCTGATCAAAATTTTAGTGAAAGTTGAATCTGTACCAGGAATATCATTCCAAACATGGTTCTATTCCGTTCAGTATTTACGAATGAATCAAAAGTTTATCAACATTCGGTGTCCACTGCAGACGACATCCAAGATTTATATCTCTGATTTTCGATGAAATCTTTTGACAGGTCTATTTTTAATCTACCGCTGACATAAATTAAATTTCAGGGCATTTAGCGTGTAATAAGCTGTGTACATTTTAGATAAAGAGAGAGAAATGGGGTTTAACATCCACTCGACACAAACTAGGTCATTTCGGGACTAACATATGGTTCAATTTTATTTCAATAATTCGCTTGCGCATAGGGGTCTTCAGCAGTGAGAGGAAATGGGAGGACCTGGAAAAAAACCACGAGGTTGGACAGATGACCCAACTTCTTGTCACTTATAATAGGTGAATCGAAACCACGCCAGTTGACTCAATGACAGCCCGTATGATACAGCGCAGCACGCACATGCTAACCATACGACCATCGAACACCCTGTACATTTTAGAGATTGTTCACAAAATCCACAATCCTGATCAACAACTTTCAGATTGTAATGCAGGTTCTGACAAATATAAACATTAAATTCAAATCATGTGACCCAATATCTAACTGATTGTTGTCTAAACAATATAACATAATACACCTACCTTTTGACACCAAATTTCCCAAATTCTATATTATTTTTAATAAATACCGTAAAATTCTGAGATGCTAATAAAACAGGTTTACTTGGTCTGAAATGAAATGTGAGTTACATGTATATCTAATTTGATTATATTTTTTCAAAATGGCTTCCATTGCAATCTGATTAAAATACAGATCTATATTTCGTTTCGTTTTTCAAAACTTTCAATAATCTACACTGCATAACGATCTGACCGTTTCTAGTGGAAGATCACGTCAGGTCTCATACGAGCGAATTTTGACCTTATGACGTCAGACATTGATTAATCAATCAGTGTTGACGTTTCTAGTGGTTTACCCACAGTTCTTTGCACCTTGCGCCAAAAACTCGTCGTAACAGACTGTTTCATTGGCTAATCCCTCACATCATCCAGAAAGTGGCTTACATAACAACTCTTCCAGATGCTAGTGTAGTAAGACAAGTAAAACAAACTTTTGAACTATAAAAAACAAAACGGATCTGTTCTAATCAGATTGCTACCACAGCTTTATTCTAAACAATTTTGGGGACAAAATAAGGTTAATTAACACCTCTAACATCAGTAAAGTCGTCCATGATGAAAAACTGAGGGACCGGTGTATACATTAGTGTGCATGTAGAAGATCCCTTGGCAGTTGGAATTTGATATGAGTAGGCCATAGCACCGCTGCCCGGGCAAAATTTCCCTCATAGCACACTGTATGGTGCATGCCCGTCTTTATTAGCCCAGTTCAGAACAAAACAGTAGGACGTTAGTGTCTGCCATTGAGTTAACTGGCGTGGTTTCCATTCCCCCGTTGTACGTGACAAGGAGTTGGGTTGCCTGTCTGACCTCGTGGGTTTTCTCTGGGTCCTCCCACTGCTAAAGACCCCTACGCGACCCAGTTTAAGTCAAGTGGTCGATAAACCCCATCTCTCTCTCTCCTTTCACTCTCTCCTCCTCTCTCTTTCTTCCTCTCCCACTCTCTCACTTTCTGCCTCTCCCTTACTTGTCATCCTTTTCTACTGGACACCAGGCATATATCTCACACACTTCAACAGAGGAGTTTGTTGGCAATTGTTTACAGTTTCCAGTCTTAACACCTACAAAAAAAAAAGCAATTGGGCTTAATAAATAGACATGCTATTTTAAGTAAGATATTATTGTGAAATTGGGCTTAATAATTAGACATGCTATTTTAAGTAAGATATTATTGTGAAATTGCTAACACCAGGGATCGAGACCACAACTGCAAGCCAGAGGTGATGGCAGGGATTGAAACACTGGTTTAAAGTTACAATTTCATATTTTCTAAATAAGTCAAAAGATAATTATTTCTATTGTCTTTTGCTCAATAGGTTGTCAACTCACTATTATTATACGATCATAGGTTATCTTTCTCACACTTACAAATCTTCACACCGGAAATAATAACACAATTACCCCCAATTATCTCCCTTGTTTTCCTATTCCCCACCATGGAATAGCTATCTTCAACCGTTTGAATTTGAAGTTGAAAATGATATTTTTGCCAATTTCTCAACTGGCAATAGTGAATTATAGGATTAAAAAGATTATTCTTTAACAAGGTAGGACTGTTTATAGATACCATCTATTTTAGGGCTTTATTTTAATACATTTTAAAAATATAACTTAAAAATATGAAATTGTAACTTTAAACTTCATATAATACTTTTAGCAAACATAAAGATATCTAAATAAATTCTGCTTTCATGGCACGATAACTATTCATAACATCTGCCACTTTGTAACAGGGGGGTTGGATGGCCGAATGGTTAGCACACGCGCACTGTATCATACGGTCTGTCATTGAGTCAACTGGCGGGGTTTCGATTCCCCGGTTGTACGTGACAAGGAGTAGGGTCACCTGTCCGACCTCGTGGGTTTTCTTCGGGTCCTCTAGTTACCTCCCACTGCTAAAGACCCCTACGCGCAAGCGAATTATTGAAATAAAAATCAACCATGTGTTAGTCCCGAAATGACCTAGTTTGTGTCGAGTGGACGTTAAACCCGCTCTCTCTCTCTCTCTCTTTGTAAGATTAGGAAGAGTTCAATACCCAAAATACTAGCCCCCCCCCCCCTTCCCCCTACTTCGTATCAAAATCATGGGTTTTAACCAGTCTCTTGCAATTGATAATAATTCAATCACCAAATCTCAGAGAAAAAAGGAAGAAATGCAACAAACCATTTCCATTTACGACTGGTGTATCTGGTTCACAAGGTTTTTTTGTACTACATAAACCATCGGGTACGGAAGGACTCTACAAATACAATAATAATTAAATACAAATTAGAGGCTAGGCCATGTTGGTTTTTAACAGTATTTATTTAAATATACATTATGGGAGATTAGATAGCAGTTCTCACTATAATAGTTAAAAACTAGATAACTTAAAGGCCATTTGCTGAAAATTTCATTCAAATTGATCCACTATGAACCGAAAACTAAGCGAATGAAATTTCTGCCTAGCCTCGGTCATCATTACTAAAGTCAGTACGATAAACAGCATAGTCTCGATTATCCATTTAATCGTTTAATCGAGAAGGAAAGTTATGCAGTAAATCGGCTCACAATCCACTTAAGACAGCAGGCTAGCGATGCCATCTAGAGTTGATTATGGTCTGGATAGGTTAATTAATGTCTAATTAATAATTTAGAAAACATTTCAGGCCCAAAGAAAGACCTGCAATAGACAGATTTAGCTCTGGCATAATGTATGTTTAACATATAATTACACACAATATATAACAAATCTGATTAAAATACAGATCTATATTTCGTTTCGTTTTTTTTATATATACTTTCGATAGCCTACACTACATGAAGATCTGACCAGTTGTACTGGAAGGTCATGTCAGTGGTCGTACCAGCGCGGCTTTTGACCCTTTGACGTCAGGTATTGATTAATCAATCAGCGTTGACGTTTCTAGTGGTTTACCAACAGTTCCGTGCATCACACGCCAAGAACTCGCCGTAACAGACCGCTTCATTGGCTAATCCCTCACTTCATCCAGAACGTCTGTTATATAACAACTCTTCCAGATCCTAGTGTTGTGAAGACAAATAAAATGAAAATTTGAACTATAAAACAGGATCTGTGTTTTAATCAGACTGATACATAAAAAATTATATGGATTCAGAAAGAAACGCTTGGCGTGGCGGAATTGTGGCAGACACGCGAGGGTCGTGGTGAAGACGCCATGAAGTGCCCGTCGCAAATGTTACAATTTTCTCACCGTCTTTGCCACGTGTGTACTGCCTGTGTCCTACGTTCATGGAGATGTTACCATGCTTGTCTCGCGACCTACGAGGTCAGATCATAGAATCTTGGCGTTCCCAACACGCTTTTACTACGCTTATAAATATCTTAATGCCTACTGAGACCACTTTCCGTCATCCTAGCAGCACAGTAAGGGCGCCACCCCGGTCTGACGGGGGTATTACAGGCAGAATATAGTGAAACCTGGCCTATATAAACAAACATTAAAGATACATTATGGGAGATTCGATAACGAGCTGGGAGTTCTCACTATAATAGTTAAAATCTAGATAATGTAAAGGCAATTTGCTAAAATTTCATTCAAATTGATCCACTATGAACCGAGAACTAAGCGATTGAAATTTCCGCCTAGCCTCGATCATCATTACTAAAGTCAGTACGATAAACAGCATACTCTCGATTATCCATTTAATTGTTAAATCGTGATGGAAAGTTATGAAGGAAATCGGCTCATAATCCACTGAAGATCACAGGCTAGTGATGCCATCTAGAGTTGATTATGGTCTGGATAGGTTAATCAATGTCTAATTAATAATTTAGATAACATTTCAGGCCTAAAAGAAAGACCTGCAATAGACAAATTTAGCTCTTGCATAATGTATGTTTAATCTGTATTCATGTTCCATGTTCTTGTCTAAGCTCAGATGCAGCCTGCTTCACTTATGGAAATTTAAAAAAAAAAGGTAGAAAGAAATTAACCCATTAGACCTATTTGTTTAATTAAAGGTCACCGGAAAAGCTTCATTAATTGTTTTGAATATTACAAGTAATTATGTCAATATATCGTTTCCTTAAGTATAACACCAACTCGAATGTGAATATTACCGGCAACATGTAAATTTCAACGTTAGCAATTTCCACCATTCTCCGTGAGTAGACGAACTTTCCGTCAATAAATAATCTATGACATCATTTTAGTCCTTCTGCTCATAGAAATATAGATTCGAATATGAGCAAAAGGACTAAAATGATGTGACACTCACGGAGAATGGCGGAAATTACTAACACTGAAATTTACCTGTTGCAGGTAATATTGACATTCCGGTTCGTTTTATACTTATGGAAACAATATATTGAAATAATTACTTATAAAATATTTGAAGCTTTTCCAGTGCCCTTTTAATGAATTTCCTGATATGTTATACATGTATATCTATCAGACAGAACCCACTAGTTCCCCCAACCTTCGTTGTCCTTCAATCAAATATCAAATCACCAGGCCCAGCTCCCCCAACCTCCTATGGCTTTTAAAATTGAACACCCATCACAAAAACACCATTTTTTTTTTATAACAATGAAAAATACACCAATACTACAAATGTACACATACCTCGAGACAAGTAGTTTGTTGTTGACCAGGTGTTACTATCACATTTGTCATCACAAAAAATGCATTATTTTCCTGAAAATGTACAAATACCATCATCCATCAGATGAAGCAAATTAAAGATACATAATGGGAGATTAAAGGAGCTAAATCGCTAATATTTTGGACCTAGAAATTGACACAAATGGGTCGTAATGCATATAATAATGTAATAGGAATATATATAAACTGATTTATATTCAATCGTTTCCATTTTTACTCTAATTTCAAATCTGTTACGTTCGGCGAAATATGTCTGAAGTCTAAATCGAATGAAAATTTCTAGCATCTGGTTATTCTAGTCTACATAGTATTTATTGCGCATACTCTCCCGATATGAATATGCCGTCACTGTTTGACATGACTTGTTGAATGTCTAGCCTCGTTCTTCGAGTCCCTTATTAGAATGGACCTGAAACGCATTATGGTACACGATTCGTGTACCAATGGTAAAATGTTTATTTTGTCTTAAAGATTGGATATCAGAAGCCCATCTTTTCCCTGTAAGATCAATACATCAATGTTGATTTAAATTGACAAATAATTCATGTTTTCAATGTCGAAGATTATGGATGATATTGAGTTAGAGACTTAGCTACTTTAAATAAAGAGTTGGCATTTCTCACTATAATAGTTAACAAGCGGCCGCCAGGTGGGATACGCCCACATTTTCACGCGGGGTGTATCATACGGTGTATCATTGAGTCAACTGGCGGGGTTTTCGATTCCCCGGTTGTACATGAAAAGAAGTAGTGTCGCCTGTCCAACCTCGTGGGTTTTCTCCGGGTCCTCTGGTTTCCTCCCACTGCTAAAGACCCCTATGCGCAAGCGAATTATTGAAATAAAATTGAACCAAATGTTAGTCCTGAATTGACCTAGTTTGTGTCCAGTGGAGTTAAAGCCCATTTCTCCCTCCCTCTCTCTGTCTCTTTATCTCCTCACTGAGGCATAAAAGAAGGAAAGAAAGAGAAGGTTTTTATTTACCTGCGGTGGAATAACGTAGTCTGCCACATCCCAGACCCGTGTTCCATTAATACCCTCATCTGTTAGGTTCGTTAGGGCTACTCCCTTTAATTTGGTTGTAACGGCACTGTTGACATCATCAAAATCTTGATAACCCTTCTTGTATATGATAGCAAATCTGAAAAAATATAATTTTGACAATTACCCAACAGCAGGGGAACCGCACTATATGCAAAACAAAACTGATTTAGACAAATCTGAGGAGAAAAAGAGAGAGAAATGGGGTTTAATGTCCACTCGACATTTTGGAACTAACATATGACTCAATTTTATTTCAATAAATCGCTTGCGCGTAGGGGTCTTTAGCAGTGGGAGGAAACCAGAGGACCCGGAGAAAACCCACGAGGTTTGACAGGCAACACTACTTCTTTTCATGTACAACCGGGGAATCAAAATCCCGCCAGTTGACTCAATGATACACCGTATGATACACCCTTTGCGTTCTAACCGTTCGGCCATCCAACCCCCATCAAATCTGCAGACGAGACAAACTAAATAGACATTGCAAGAAATACTTGTTTGATAAATTGTGACTGACAAAGTCTGTGACAGGTGCCTTATGTTCAGGCTTGCATGAAATGAAATCAAATGAAATAGGGTTTAACATCCTACTGTTCTGCTCCAAACTGGGCTAATGATGACCGGGCATATGCCATACAGTGTGCTATGAGGGAAATTTTGCCCGGACAGTGGCACTACAAATTTCAACTGTCAAGGGATCTTTTACGTGCACGCCAATGTGTACACAGGACCTCGGTTTTTTATCCCATCCAAACGACTAGACAGCTGTCCTTGTCAGGACCTCCGTCCTGCATCACTGACAAGGGGGGACCACGCTGAAAAATGTGGATGAACTTTCTCGGCCAATGCATGGATCGAATACCTGACCTCCAGGTTTACCCACTTAGCCACTGTGACCCCACCCCACCCCCCAGGCTTGCATGGTGTGTGATAATTTTTGATTGCCAGTCTGTGACAGGTGTCTCATGTTGCGCTAAATGACAGGTACAACTGGGAATGAACTTGACAGGTGCCTTATTTTCATTCTTGGTGATCGCACGGCTATTCACACCTTCACAGAGGCAACATCATGAAGAGAGAGATAGAGAAATGAGGTTTGACGTCCACATGACACAAACTAGGTCATTTTGGGACTAACACATGGTTCAATATTATTTCAACAATTCGCTTGCACCTAGGGGTCTTTAGCAGTGGGAGGAAACTGGAGGACCCAGAAAAACCCACGAGGTTTGACAGGTGACACTATTCCTTGTCACCTACAACTGGAGAATTGATACCACACTACTGCAGCAGACTCGAAATAAAATCATGAAGAAAAATGATGGATGTTACTTAGGACAGGAATGTAAACCAGCGATAACACCATGTTTGTAACATTAACAATTGGGTAGTAGAATGTTTTACAAATCTGATTTTTAAGTTATGTCGCTGACAGTACTGCAGGCCACATATATAGTTAGGAGGAAATGAAATTAAACGCCACGGCCACGGGGTTTAAATTGTATAATTCGGCCCAACCGGAGTCGACACCTTTTTGGAAGTGGAAACAAAAATGAGTTAAATTACCCTATTACGTAGCTTATTATTGCCAGCTGCAGAAATCTGTTAATAATTCCAACCTTTTTACTTCGAATGTGAACAATTCGCGGAGTGTCGTATTCAAAAAATACACTCAGGGCAGAACGCACGATGGAGGGCGGCGCCATGTTTGTTGTCTACAAAGATCACGTGACATAGCACATGACAATACATGTACTCATGTCGGCCTACACTTGGCCCCGATCAGCTATGAAGACCTTGCCCTCGTCCCCGATAGCAAATTTCGCCAGGTGTGCAGTTTGCTTTTTTTCCGATTTTACTTATCTACGGTGGCCTATTGGTGCCACTCGTTAATTCATTAATTTTCCAAGTAATTTACCTCAGATGAGAGCTATTTTTTTCCGCGGTGGAAACTTTTTAAATGATAATTCCTCAAAATATTTTTGAAGTTACTATAAAGGAATGAAATAATTAAGTACGGAAGATTAGCTACAATATTGTACCCGCGTCCTGTCTTATTCGAAGCTACAATTGATACACTATTCGAGGCTTTGCGCAAGTAAAATTATAAGTTCAGTTGCAAATTTTCAACACATATCACCACAGTTTGCATGGAAATATGTAATATGTTACAAAAGAGTGGAACACTGAAATCTTAATCTTATCTTACCAACAGTCATCCCAAACTTTCGCTGCCTGTCTACAGCTAGCTCCGCCTGAGGACAGACCCTACTAATTAACCGACATTTTAATTCCTACATAATAATAATAATATCAGTATATTATAGCGCATAAACACTGCTTCCACAGTTTCTAATGCGCTTCGAGTTCACTAGATTTGTTCTCGATGTCAATATCACAAAGGACTTTCAAAAAGGAAAGTTTTCAGTTTGTTCTTAAAAACAGAAAGATGACTCTAGACGTATGTGTAATGGGAGCTGATTCCAAAGAAATGGCGCTGAGTATGAAAATGCACGTTTTCCAGTCCCAATAGTGTTACACAAGGGATCTTTAATAAGTGTTTATCAGATGAACGTAAATTTCGGCTTGTAGTATAGGGTACTATCATATCTTGGATGTAGGTAGGTGATTGTGAATTTAGAGCTTTAAAGGTTAATAAAATCTTGAAATGAATTCGCTGTTTAACGGGTAGCCAATGTATACATAGTGATGATAATGTGGCATTGATGCTGTCAAATCGTCCTTTCCCAGTTCTGAACATAATTGTAGCTTCTTTATGAGGTTTTCTGGAAGTTGGTAGAGGAGAGCATGTGGTAGTCGAGCTTAGATGTTATGAAAACATGTACGAGTCTTTCTAGATTATCTCTGTTTAATACTTGTTGATCTTGCTGATGTTATGGAGATGGAAGAAGGATGAGGAGCAGACTGCCTGAACATGTTCTTTAAAGGCTCAATACCACTCTTGTTGTAACTGAATAATATGTCCCAATCTTTATTCTGGTCAACAAATTGTACTATTTTAGAATATTTCAATTAATTGATGATACAAATTTTATCTTAACACACCTTATTTAAAAATTTTGAAAAATTCAACATAATGGTTTGAAACGGTCTAACGTAAACTTTTTCAAATGAAACTTCGATTTAAAAATATTTTCGAACCCTCTGGACAAGTAAAATAGGATGTAATGGATAATCTACACAACAGGTAGGACACTTAAACATCTAGTACTTAGATAGAGATATCATTTATTTTCTGGAGCTTTCAAGCCAGCAAGAGTGTTATTGTCCCTTTAAAACTAAGATTGGTATCAATAACCGCTCCAATATTTTTGGCCTTAATTTGCTGACTGAATGATCTCCTTATTGTCAAAGTTATGGGTAAAGTTTTCAGATCGAATTTTTTTTTGTTGCTGTTTGGTACCAATGACACTGTATGGCCCAGTCAGAGCAGAACAGTAGTACGTTAATAACGCCCATTTCATTTCATTTGACGTCACTGCACTTGTGTACATATTTCTTAACACTGGGCCCTTATTGATACATTATGGGAGATTTTTTATAGAGAGTTGGCCATTCTTGCTATAACAGTTCAAAAGTAGATGATGAAAGAAGAATATATTGAAAAATTCAGTCAAATTACTTTATTCTGAACATAGTTATGATCGTTGTAATATTTGCCTAGAAATGGTAGCGAATTGTGTCTTCACCTTCGCTGATCGTTTGATTGACAGGCGTTAACTCCACCTACATATCTCGATTATCAAGTAAAGTTTTCAATGGCATACCGAAACGCTTTACAGCGGCCTCGCTAAGTACACTCTATCATTTAGCCTCGATCTAACTGACGTATTTTCATCAGGTAACCCCTTATTTGATTTAATCAATTAGTGAATTCCTATTTAAATCCGAGCTGTAGCCGAGCCATCCGTGGGTCTACAGAGTTGATTTTGGTCTTGTTGTTTAAATAAAGATCTAATTTCTATAACATCTGAAGCCTAAATTAAGACTTGCAATAATCAGATTTAGCTCTTGCATACAACCGAAATTTTAAGAAATACTGCAACTTCATTGGATATATGCAAATTGATTTTACTGGTCAGCCAATCGAATTGCAGTATTTCTTAAAATTTCGATTGTATCTTAGTTTAAGTTTTCGTGAATAAGGGCCCAGATATCAATTTTAAGTTGTATTCTCGATCAATGAAGCTATTCATGTATATCATAAAATGTACAACTCAATGCTCTATACAGCTTTGCTACAACCCATCCTATATTATGAGATTTTACATAGTCGTAATGTTCAAACTCATCGGACCATGGACACGGAACATGTATTTAAATCTACTAAAATTATTACCAACTAAAGTGTAGAATCTGACCTATTTACACATGCTGTAAGATTGTGCTCACGATATGTATTATGTTCATGAACATAGAACATTAGGACTCGGTTTTCCCTTCGGTTAGAGAGCCGTGGTGGTTCAGTGAGTAAGACGCTTGCTCGCTTACTAGAAGGTCTCGAGTGCTTCGTGTGGTTGAGTTTTTTTTCGTATCTTGGTATTTGTTTGTGATTGTATTGAAAAACGATGTTTTGTTGAGACATGCATGTAAGCTTATACAGCCAACGATGAAACATTAATCTGAGAATTTTGGTAGGCAAGATACAGTAGCACAAAAACATCACCAAATTGTTTTAGTTTTGTTTTAGGAAGAGCAAGCATGTTTGTATATGGGTATTACATGTCCGGTACATTTCGACAAGTGTTTCATTGTCTTTAAACATCTCTCTCTCTCTCTCTCCCTTTCTCTCTCTCTCTCTCTTTCTCTCTCCCTCTTCCCCCTCTCTCTCTCTCTCCCACTCCCCCCCTCTCTCTCTCTCTCTCATCATTGTGTACATTTGATAAAAATTATTTTTGTTTACAGATGCCTCATCCAGCCTTTAAACTTGTCCCGTGATGCTGATATCCATGACTAATTTAAGATGGAGAAAAAGGATAATTCCATGTCTTTCACTTTGTATTGGAATTTGGATTACAATAAATTTGCGCTATTTAGTTTGGGATTACTTTGAATGTGGCTTCAACCCTTAATTATCTGAAAGGTGTTTTTCGGAGTCCAGAACCCACAACTTCAAGTATCTGATTAACAAACCGAACTTATGTCATAATTCCCAGGGGAATGTCATTCTGTTGATTGCGGTTACGTCGGTGCCATCAGAATTCGATAAGAGAAGGTTAATACGGGAGACCTGGGGATCCATTGTTATCAGTGATTCAGAAGTGCGGCTGTTTTTTATTTTGGGTTATAGGTCAAATGTTAGTCAGAACAAAACTCAAGAAGAAAGTGACAGATATGGTGACATTGTTCAAGAGGATTTTCGTGACAGTTATCAAAATCTGAGTATCAAATCCGAAGCAATCCTTCGTTTTGCGCTCAGTTCTTGTCCGGAGGCACAGTACATTTTGAAAACGGACACTGACATGTTTATAAATGTACCAGTTGTGATGGAAACTTTACGAAAAAATACACAAACTAATATGATAATGGGTTTGGTCCACAGTGGTACCACTCCATATCGTAACAGGCGGTCAAAGTGGTTTATTGAAAAGGGTTACTTCCCTTTAACATACTACCAGGACAATGCTATTGGCACAGCGTATGTTTTAACAAACGATATAACACAGAATTTATTTAATGCGGCCTTACATACCAAGTATTTTAGGTTAAACTGTTTCAATGGCATTTAGTAATTGAACTATAGTATACAGGTCACAATTCTATGGAATACAATTAGGCCTACTGCTTTTTACTGAGCGACGTTTCAACTAGGCTTCTCTCGTCATTATCAAGCTATGATAAAAAATGAAAATATGACAGGACAATATATACATGTACACAACAATGCTTAGTTAATGCTGACAAACCAGGGATCTAACTTAATTACGTGTACCTAATGGTTTAGGTTAGAGGATGTCTTCATTACCGGTATTTTAAGGAAACGTATTAAGGCCAATTTAATTCATCATAGGGCCTTTCATTCTACAAATCTTCCCGTGGATATTTGTTCTTTTAAAGATAATATTTCAGCCCATGGTTTTTCAATGGAAGAAATAAGGCAAATATGGTCCCAAAAGGGGCCTGAACAAATCGTGTGAATCACTGAATCCTTATCTGGGTGGTTTGGGTAACCGAATGGCCTAAAGCGATTTCTCCTACTGCTAAAGCTAATTATTGAAATGAAAGTTATCATATTATGTATCATAAGGTCTGTATTGAGTCAAGTGGCGTGGTTTCGATTCACCGCTTGTGTGTGACAAGGAGTAGGATCGCTTGTATAACCTGGTGGGTTTTCTCCGGGTCCTCCGTATTCCTCCCACTGCTAAAGACCCCTTTACGCAAGCTAATTATTGAAATAAAATTGAACCATATGTTAGACCCGAAATGACCAAGTTTGTGACAAGTGGATGTGACCCCCATCTCTGTCTCTCTCATTGACATGAAATGGGGTTCAATGTCCTACTGTTCAACTCCGAACTGGGCCAATGAAGATTGGCATACGCCATACAGTATTCTATGAGGGAAATTTTGCCCGGGCAGCGGCACTATCGCCTACTCTTATATCGAATTCCAACATGGTTTGAATCGGTTTCCGTTGAGGGTCCTTACTTAGGACATCCTAATAAGTTAATAGAAATCAAAAAACC